AAAAAAGTGCCAGGATTAAATTAGTATCTAAATGTTAAAATAGATTAAAATATACAAGAAAAAAAATCATTTCTACCAAAAAAAAAAAAAAAAAACTCAATGGAATTAAATAGCCTAGTAAAGGAACAAAAAAGCTGAACCAACAACTATACCCAGTTTAACACTTCACTGCTATTTTTCTAATGTTAACTGAGTCCTAAAACCTTTGGTACCAATCCTTGAAAAGTACAATCCTTTCAGGGCTGGGGAGATGGCCCAGTGGCTTAAGTGCCTGCCTGCCAAGCACAAGGTCAGAGATCAAATACAATCCTTTCTATAATACTGTTTGCAGATGTGAAAAGGTTACTGGGCCTTCAGTTCACTCCACTGGAGAATACCCTTTGCAGAAAGTGAACTCATTCTGAGCAAGAAAAAGACGTTTCACATACTGTGGTCCCCAGATACATGGCAGAAATAAAACTAAAAGACAGCATTTACAAGAATTAAGACTATATTTACAAGAATTAAAAGACTAAAATAATTTTCTTATAAACTCACATGTGTCACAGCACTTAGAACATTACCTGTTCAAAATTGGCAGGGAGATGAGGTCCAAGTCTCATCAGCAAATACCACCAGACTTCTAGTTTTGTTAATGCTAGAGTTTCTGTTCTCACATGGATGGAACTCAAAGGCTGCATTAACAACTTGAGTCTTTTTGCACTACACAATATATCTTAAAAGAAAATAAGCACATAAATAAAATGATTTAAGAGTCAAAAATTTTTAAAATGAACTATGCAAATCTCCTTTTAAAAGTTTATTCTTGGGGCTGGTGAGATGGCTCAGCGGTCTAAAGCACCTACTTAGAACAAGCTTAGCAAAGCACTGTGGTTCAATCCCCCAGCACCACATGCCAGCCAGCCCCGCCCCCTGGTGGGCTAAGCTGGACACGGACACACACGGACGGACACACACACACACACACACACACACAAATAAAACTTTTTTTAAAAAAGTTTATTCTTACTCTACCCAAAAGTTTGACAAACTCCAATACAGCTACACCAGAACCCTCAATAGGAGTGGTTATTAGATTCTGTGTGTCAGGCAGGGATGATTTCCCCACCATGGGACATTTGGCAATGTCTGTATTTTTGGTCATTGAGCAGTAGAGTGATGATACTATCAGTGGACTGAAATCAAGGATGCTGCCCAAACTTATTAAAACACACAAAAGTCCCTAGCAACAAACTATCCAGTGCAAAATTCCAAAACTCAGAGAAACTGCTTTACTTTCTAACTCTACATGACAAATGAAAGATGGATGCACCCAACACTGCTGCACATCCCTGTAATTTTACATACACAGAAGGCTCAGACAAGAGTATTAAAAGTGAGAGGCCATGAGAACCAGGCATGGTGGTACACACCTGTAATCAATCCCAGCACTCAGGAGACTTAAGGCAAGAGGATCAATCAATCCATGAGGCCAGCCCAGGCTACATAATGAGTTTGAGGCCAGCATGGGCTACATAGTAAAATCCTGTCTCAAAAAAGAACCCAAAAAGTTTCGAGGCCAGACGGCACAATTTAGCCAGACCTTAATTCAAAATAAAAATGTGTGAACATGCAGCTCAGTGGTAAAGTGACCCTGGGTGCAAATTCCAGTACCACAAAAAAATGAGGCAAGGATGAGGAATTGGGATGACTCAGAGAAATGACAGCTTATTATGTGAGAGGCCTGGATTCAAGAACAATTACTTTAAAAAGGGGGGTGGGTGCATAGCATCTCTGAAATAGTAACTTATTCTATCAAACATTACTATTTTGGGAGCTGGATAGATGGCTCAGTAGAGTAAGTGCTTCCCTGGCAAGCACAAGGGCCCGAGTTCAATCCCCGGTTCCGCCAAAAAAAAAAAAAAAAAATTACTATTTAGGACAGTGATTATATTTTAGAAATCTAAGCAAATTCACTTTAATTCCTACCTTAATATTAGAGCATTAAAAATTCAGCATGCAAGTGAATCTAATTCCTCAAACAAAAATATTTACACATGTATACTACACAAGTAGGACTGGTGGATACACAAAATTAAGAGATGGTCTATGAAGTATCATGTCAACAAAATTTCAAAAGGACCCTAAAACATCATTTAAACCATGTATTTAATGGACTGACTTGCACCAGTATTTCTTTTATTTTGGTGGTACCAGGGATTGAACTCAGGACCTTGCACTTGCTAGGCAAGCACTTATTCCACTGAGCTAGCTATCTCCCTGGTCTTTTTTTTTTTAAATATTTTATTTATGTGTTTGTGTGTGTGTGGCCAGCTCAGCCCACCAGGGGGCGGGGCTGGCTGGCATGTGGCGCTGGGGGATTGAACGCGGTCCCTATGCTCTGCTAAGTTTGTTCTAAGTAGGTGCTTTAGACCACTGAGCCATCTCACCAGCCCTTGCACCAGTATTTCTTACAACTTCTCTGTCCTTCTGGTTGAGGATGTGGCTCAGTGGTTAAGAATGCATGCCTAGGGTGCAACCTGGGTTCAATTGCTAGCACTACTAGAAAAGGCAGCAGCAAAGTTCTCAGTGTGGTGCTAGAAAACCACAAGTTATTTTCCACTTTGTTCAGTTTTTCAAATAACTTAAAACAAGGGCCAGCCAAATAGCTCATCGGATTAAAGCACCTGCAGGCACAGGGGTCGGGGTTCAACCCCCAGGCATGCCAGCCCCACCCCCAGGCACACAGAGACAGCAATTGAGACTGGGGCATGGTAGCACAAGCCTGTAATCAAGAGTTTGGAAGACTCTGGACATATGAGATCTTGTACTGTAATGTCATGTAACTCCATAGTGTCCCAAATTTTCTTATCAAGGAGATTATGGGGCCAAAGAGGAAAGTGATCAATGATGTGTAGTGTGCCTAAGGAGAGTCACATGGAGTGAAAACATTCTCTCAGGCTTTCATGGGGAGCACACTGGCCAAGCAATGGCCATGACTCATCCACATGGCTGACACTAACAAAGGATATACAATCTGAGGTACAGGATCTCAGAATAAATCCTGAGGGGATTTCACTGACCTTATCAGACCCAAAAGCTACAACTCTTGTTGCATAGGTCTTGCTTTACCTTGGTCCTAACCATCCAGCAGAAAAGTATAAAAACGAAGGACAAGAAGTAAAGCTATGTTATGCTGAGCTGTAGGGGACTCTGGTCAACAATTTCTGACATTGCCAGTCAAGTGGAAGACCCAATATTATTATGGATTACTGAACTCTTTTAGAATATTTTGCTGAGTTAACACATCTATAAGATTCAAATGATGGAACTAAACAAAAAAGGGGATATATAAATGAGTGTCCATTTTGTATCTGTGTATTCAAAATGGTTAGGATAGATATATAGTTACATTCTCTTAATGAATAGAGGGATTTGTTGTAATAGTGTTTGCAAATAGGATATGTCTGCATCTTGTACAGCAAATAACCACTAGGAAGAGAGTATGCAATGTATTAATTACTGAAACTGTCCTACCAATTTGATTTGAAGTTGTCTCATTGCTATTTGTCAATGAAATTATAGAAAAAAAGGTAAAAAGAAAAAAAAAAAGTGCTCAATTATTTACATACCTGGATTTAAAGCAAAATTATCTATTAAGCTTTTCCAAGCAATAAAAGCTATTTTTTTGATCATGGGTGTTCCACTACGAAATCCCAGTTCTTCTAGCTGTAGCAAAGAATTGATGAAACTCCCACTTCGATGCAAGGTCTAAAGCAAGAGAAAAATCACCAAGAAATTATTGATAAGGCCACTGTTCTCTCTTGCATGGAAGCACACACTCATTCCATAAGGTATGCTTCTTGTCCTACTTTTAGTTGGCCCAAACTTACTCCACAGATCCTGTGTCTTTTCCTACCTTTAATAAAACTTTGCTACTGTTAAAAAAAATTATTGACCTTCAAGAAACAAAATAGAAGGGCCGGGGAGATGGCTCAGTGGAAAAAACACTTCCCTGGCAAGCGCAAGGGCCTGAGTTCAATCCCCAGTTCCACAAAAAAAAAAAAAAAAAAAAAAGAAAGAAACAAAATACAGGCACTATTTTTATTCATTTATTTACTCAACATACGTTCTGAGGATTTCAAAGTTTAAAGGGGAGATAAATTACAAAACAAACCTGTTATGTGTTACAACAAATGTTGTCTTAGGAAACTGAACTTAAGACCAAAATGAACTGTATGTATACACCCAAAATTCAAGAGCACAAAACAAAGTTCAATGAAATAGATAATGTGTAATACAGAACACTTTTAAAATCAGGGCCAGGGATATAGTTCAGCGACAAAAACACAACTTCAATCCCCAATCACAAAAAATAAATGAGAAAATTAGATATATTCCCAAGTTGCAGTGTTCACTTCAGCAACATATACCAAATTGCATTAAGGTAGTATGAAAAAAAATGTATAGGAATAAGTTGAGTACCTAAATATTTGGGACCAGAAATACTTCAGATTTTTAGAATATTTGCATATACAGTACATAATAACATTGTTGAGACAGAACTCAAGTCTGAACACAACTGTTTTTTTCTTTTAATTTTTTAAAATCTTTTTTGGAGTCAGGGAGATAGCCTAGTGGCCCAAGTACCTGCTTGGCAAGCACAAGGGGCCAAGTTCAATCCCTGGTACCACAAAAGAAAAAAAACAGAACAACTAAAGTACTATTAAATCTTTTTATTTGGTACAGGGTCTTGCTACAGATTGGACTTGTAGTGATCCTCCTTCCTCAGTCTCTCCAAGGATGGGATTATGGGCCTGCACCATCATGCCTAGTTTCATTCGCCAACATGGTAGACCCAGGGTTCTGGGCCTGTACAACATGTGGTACCAGGGTTTGAACCTGGGTTTTCTTGAGCTTGCCAGGCAGGTGCTTAGACTGCAGAGCTATCTCCCCAGCCCTAAACAGAAAATTCTTATATTTTGCACAATACTGTCAACTTAGTTAATTATATATACTACTTTTAAAGCACCTATATTTTGGCTAAAATAGCTCATAATATCAAGTAGGCAATTTTTCACTCTTCGTGTCAAGTGAGAGAAACCAAAAGTCTTAGATTTTAGAGCATTTTTGGCTTCAGACTGCCTATTCTACCCATCTGAAAAATATACGCAACTATTAGTGAGATAAACTGTAAACCCCATTAAAAATGTTTTCAGGCACATTAAAACAGGCAGAAAAATTAGCTAACGACCTGCCCTCAATGTAGAAAACAGTAACATCTGCTAAAGCAAGTAATGAAAGAGGCAGGCACAGAGGCACTCGCCCATACGTAATTCCAATGCTAGTCATCCTAAGACAAATTGGCATCACTTGTGTAACTCTGCAAGCTCTCGTCTGAAAAGAATTGGGGAAGTAATTCTGTAGACAGATCCTGGGTCCAATACTCAGTATTATCATCGAACACACACACACACAAAAAGGCCCATGACTAACCAAACTGGACCAATTCAAAATTAGTTCCAAGGGCTGGGGAGATGGCTCAGTGGAATAAGTGCTTCCCTGGCAAGCGCAAGGCCTGAGTTCAATCCCCAGTTCCGCAAAATAAAATAAATAAAAATAAAAATAAACTTCCAACAAAATTAGTTCCAAACACTACGTACGACTAACGTAGGAATAGCATCTAACCAAAAAGAAAACATAAATGACAAGTAATCCTAGGAAAACAACTTCATAAAAATTCAGTGCTAAGATACTAAAAACCACATATAACCTTAACATAATGTAAATAGTAAAACAGCAAATATACTCTTACCGAATGGCTTAGAAAACAAAACCTTACAAGAAAGCTACTTGAGCTAATAAATCCAGCAAAGTTACACACAAAGATCAACATATCCTTGTATTTCTATAGTTCAGCTGGTGAGATGGCTCAGTGGTCTAAAGCACCTACTTAGAACAAGCTAAGCCAAGCAAAACACAGGGACAACTGTCTCATTGCTATATTTTTATAAAAAAAACTTTGAAAAAAAAAAAAAAAAAAAAAAAAAAGAAAGAAACTGTCCTACCAATTTGGTTGGAAAAAAAAAAGAATTCGCCATATTAACCATTAAAAAAATAAAATAAAATTTGAAGACAAAAAAAAACACAGGGACCGCGGTTCAATCCCCCAGCACCATATGCCAGCCAGCCCCGCCCCCTGGTGGGCTGAGCTGGCCACACACATACCAAAAAAATAAATAATTAATTAAATATAGTTCAATAAGGAAACCAATATGAAAAAAGGTATTTGAGGTTAAGGCAAGATTACTGCAAGTTCAGGACCAGCCTAGGCTATACAGTGAGAGTCTGACTTTAAAAAAAAAGGGGGGGGGCTATTTGTACAGTAATTTCCTTATATATCACTTAAAAAGAATTAAATACAATTATCTATCACATTAAAGAAATGTGTTACTGGGCAAAGTTGGATGATACTTAGATGAAGAGCCTCCTACAAGCCTAGTACATTTTAGTGCATAAGTAGTGTAGGCTACTATTCCTAGTGCCATCAGGCACAAAATACAAGATTAAACCAAGGAGAACAGATGAAGCAATCAACACACAAGGTAAAAATCAGAGGTTGCTTCCACCACTACACAACATACTATTTCAGTAAGCTTTGTTTTTTGGCATTTTTTTCTCCTGATTTTTTCAGTAGGACATGGTCTTGCTGCGTAGCTCAGGCTGAACTTCAACTCACTACTGAGTCCAGGATGGCCTCAAACTCATAGCAATCCTCCCGACTCAGCCTTAGCCTCTGAATACTAGGATTATAACTAAGTGCTACCTAGACTGGTTTCAAAAAACTTTTTATATTTAGAAATATTCTCAAAAAACTGGTACGCCCTTGTGAATACGTAACAGTCAATATGATTATCAAGGACAGTAAAATCCTGAACTGCAAATAACTTGTCGAGTGTTCAGCAAGACAAACATTTCTAATAAATTTTAATTTGATAAACAAGGGATGTCTTCTAATACAAGTAGTGTGTGATGCCAAATATCACAAGATCACAGCTAAGCCAGTATTCTTTTCTATGTCTCTCTTGCTGTGGAATTGTATAAGATTATCCCCCATCAGGAACAGGTTATGGAGATCTCCTTTATAGAGAACTTCAAAGGAGATTAAGGGGATGTATAAATTTGGGAAACAGTACAAAATTTTGTAGGAAAGCACCACTCCAATAAGGTTTTATCAGTACAAGCAATGAATCTGTTTAATGACAATGCAATGCCAAGTTTCTGCACAATCCTCAAAAGGACGCAAAACCAAATGTCACTAGATAGGTTGGCTGCCTGTTAAAAGTTGAATGAGAAGTAAAGACTCCATTGAGCCAGTGGACAGCATTGATTCCATTCAGTGATGGTGAACGTTCTAATCCTCACTTGCCTCCCTCATACCAATAGGGATTGTTTTTCAAAAGTTAAGCGCAGGGCCGGAGAGACAGCTCAGCAGATTAAAGCACGCAGGGGCTGGGGGTCTGATCCCTGGGCCTGCCATGAAGGGCATGTCCCTGAGGCCCGCTGAGATGGCAACTGAGACTGGGCTTGGAGGTGCGTGCCTGTAATCCCAGCTCTTGGGAGGCTGTAAACAGGCGGATCTCTACCAGTCTGATCTACCCTGTAGACCTTTCCCTAAAACACCAAAAAAAAAAACATTAATTTTTTTCTT